CTATAAAAACTGTCTGAGTCTGCCTGTTTTGTACTTTTGTGTGTTTCTTCTGTGGCATACTGACAAAACTACTACTTACTGAAAAAAATGTAAAAACATTTATAAAGAGCACACAATTTATTCTCATGTATGCAAAACAGTAGATGGCAGCAGTGACTTCCGCATCATTTGGCAGTTACATTTTGCCTGCTTAGAGCCTTATAAAGTCAGTATAGAATAATAAATAAATATTACTATGAAAGTTAAAATTTCAGGTCATACATTGGCTGATAAAATGTGATTTTAGGAGTGTCGGGAGCATGTTTCAGCTAAATGCCTGTTGCAACGACATAAAATAATACTTTTGTAAAAAATAAAATAATGTGAGGTCATTTTATTTGCCTGCTTCTTTTATTATTTATTTTAAATTTTGTTCTACGGTTATTTATTTAATTGTATTGTTGTATTTAATTGTCAAGTGCGCATGGTTAAGATCGAGCAGTACCGGAACAGAGCAATATGTGCCTTTTACTTTTAAAAGCCATTGACCGGAAGTAGCAGCGTCTATTGCGGCTAACTTGTCATTTCTGTTCAACATGTCTCCCTGGCAGACTCCTCTCTGTCATTAGAAGCGCCTGGAATTTTCGTGAAACTACTGCGTTTTGTAAGTATTTCTATCGATACGACATGTTTTTACACCGACGTAGTAACTGTTACGGTTTGCTGACTGTTGTTTGCCTGCTTGAACAAGGTCACTGCACTCGCTGTCATTTGGTTGTTATTGAACACCGGTGAGCGCTTTAGCCTGGAAGTGTTAGCTCGCCTTTTTATCCCGGCAACATGGTTGTTGACCTGGTTTTACATGACTCGGCTGGCTGAGCTTGTAATGACAGAAGGCGCCGTTGATTAGTCAAGTGGGGCAGTTTCTAAACCATGTGCTAACAGTTCGTCTTAAACTGCGTATGTCACAGGCTTTGTTGTATGAGCACTAGGTGCCTTTGAAAACTAGCTACTAGTAACGATAAGCTAGCTGGCTAATTTAGCACAAGCTAACTGTCAAGCAGGTTGTTTGTGAACCAACCTGCTGCTGTTGATGTACTTAAGTTATTGGCTTATACGTGGTTTCTAACAATTAGTGCTTTGTTATATATCGTTAACTGTCAGATGTGTAACATAAGGTGGCTAGCTAACTGAATCTCGTAGCTTTAAGACGGTCCGATATTTTCGTGTGTCATACTAAAGTATACAATATTAGTTAACATATTTGATCTTGTTCCGTTATCTGGCAATACCGGCTGCTTGGTGGATCATTTTCTCGAGGCTCGGTAGTCAATCCACTGCATAGCAACATACAAGCCATTGGTCATATTTGGAAATACGTAATCCAGCTACATAAGTCATGTAGCTGAGCAACATTAACATGTGTGTTGTTCGCTGCAGGTTAGCACAAAGCTAGCGGGCCGTTGTCAGCCAGGACCCAGAAAAGCAGCATCATCATCAATGGTGTGTCTACATCCCGGAGCCGTCACATTTTCCTGTGTCCGCTCAATGAACTGTCTCCTCAGCTCTCAGCACAGTGAGTATTTGAGTTTCATGGACTCATTTCCGTTAATCTTCCAGCAATTGAACGAGCACCTTGGTCACTTTTGTAAAACTCGCCACATCTCACTATCTCACAATCTCACAATCTCACTAGGTGGGTCCGAGTAACATCTCTCTACCGCCTTGATAACTCTGACATTTCTGTCTTGTTGCTAATTTTCTATAGTTATTTTTTTTTTAATGTTCCCTTTGTAATGTCTTCTTGTTATATCACAACCTTGAGAACAGTCGCTTTGCGTTTCACTTGACATACTCGATTAGCAAGTGACAAATTTAAACTCCTAAAGCTTGAATATCTTCATCACTTTTACCACAGCACTAGTCTGAAGTGTACACCCTAGCTTTAATGGATAGGCACACAGAAGAGCACAAATATTGATCCAAATACACCACAGAGCGTGCAAAAGACACAGTTTCCATCCATCCATTGTCTGTACACCACTTAATCCTAACTAGGATCACAGTGGGGACACCCTGGACAGGTCACCAGTCTATCACAGGGCTACACTTAGAGACAGACAACCAAGCACACTCACATTCACACCTATTGACAATTTAGAATCACCAATTAACCTCAACATGTTCTGGACTGCATGGGGAGAACTCCAGCAGACAAAATGGTAACAGGAGCTGAAGTTTAGTTTGTTGCTTCCAGCTGTTTGTAGGAGATTTTTCCTTGAGTTTATTAAATACCTGCAGCGTCAAACAGGAGGATCCATATGAGCGTTTCCAAAGTGAGAGAGTTGTGCACATTTATATAAGTGGACCAACATTGGTAACTTCATTAGTGACTCAGCATTTTTTATTTTCCCCAATATGGAGAAAGGATTGGTCAGGATCAAATCACACTGTGTGCTTTCATTCACGTTAGACAGGTGAGCTGTCACGTACAGAGTCAAGGTTAATAAGCTGCAGTTAAGTCTTTGTTACATAATGGACGTAGATTTAGTCTTTTGTTCATGAGTGCATTATTATGTATTATATCATTTGATGTACTGTCTATTCTCTCATGTGTGACTAATGTCATGCGTGCACCATGGCTCTCTTGTCACTGTCTTGGGTATGTCTGAATGAAGCTGCAAGGAGCACTTATGTAAAAGTGACCCAAGCCAGCAATGTTACTAATCCCATGTCTGAAAGGGGCTTATGTGTCGCTGCAATGCAGCCCCGTCTGTATACAGTGTAAATTAGCAGCTCCACTCAACATCACACTTTGGACTTTGTCTCCTTTAGGCTGCACATGTATGGCGTTTGCGAGGCTTGGAGGGGAGTTTTGCAAAGCCCAGCACCTGCTGCTTATTGTGGACAAGTGAACAGGAGACACCAGCTAGGCACAATCACTGCCATTCACACACACAGGTGAGTGGCGTAAAGGCTATCTTAAAAGAGGGGCGAACATTATTTAATTTGTTTTGACTTTGTTGCTGTCCAAGGAAGCAGAGTAAAGGCACACTGAATCACTGATACCGATCTAAGTACCTGATCACACATAACCTGGCACTGAGGGTCAACTGCATATCAGCCTCGCCGATTATCAGATCCAACATTGAGCATTTTCCCAATTATCATTACTGGTTTGTCTTGGACGCAGTTGCTTCTTTGTCAGTAATCACTCTATGGTCTTGAATAACGCCCACCACCTATGTACAAATCATGATTACTTGTCAAAGCTGAGGAATAAATGTTGAAAACTTCTCACTCAGTTAAGTTTTATGTTAGAGTTTTTCTTGTATACATTTTAAGACAGAGATTTTCATTTTGCTGAAAATGTAATTGATATCAGCACTGGGAAAAATACATTAGTTGACCACTGATTAGCACTGAATGGCCCATTACAGGACAGGAACAAGTGGTGGAGGTTAAGGCAGCAGCACATGGAGAAGTGGTCGTCAGTTAGCATCACGTTAGAATCAAATAGGTTATGAATGAGCATCTCTCTGTCCTCACAGGTCCTTACTGCCATCCCGTTCAACCCATATGAAGACAAGCCAACCTTCAGTCTGTGACTTGTCCTGGGGAGAAGGGGAGGCATTGGTTTCAGCCCAGGAGTTTCCTCTCTGCTCTCCTCCTTTCCTGCTTTTCCTTTCTTCTTCTGCTCTCATTTGTACAAGTCTTCTCTGAATGGGCTAACAGATTTGAAAGAAAGGATAGACAGATCTTTTTTCCTGTCTTAAGTTTTTTTTTCCCCCCTCAGGACTTTAGGTGTCTTCTCTCCACTTTTTTTGATCTCAGTCTGCTAGATTAAATTATTATTTTTTAAATTACCAAGCCAATTTTCATTTTAGTCCTTTATTGCCAAGAAGTTTCTCCCCTAAAAATTGTGTTTGTTATTATTTAGGCTTTTTGTCAAAAGAATCGCGTATTTAAATCCTGTGCCCATAGACCGTACTGATCCATTAGTGAAATTGAGTTTAATTTGGATTTCTTTAAGTGGAAGCATTATTTTTTACTTTTTTAAACACTCCAAAGGGTTGTACTTGAAGACCTTGTCTGTTACTCCATTCTTTGAAGCACAGTACTTTTCAGACCTTCATTCTTTATTAACAAACCTTTGTGGGTCAAAAAATGAACCGACCGGCTCCAGTGGAGATCTCCTATGATTGTCTCAGATTCCTCATCACGCACAATCCCACCAATGCACAACTGGGAAGGTTTATAGAGGTAGGATGTTTTCTCACTTTATTGCCTTTTCTGGATGGAACAAGAGCAGCTTGTTGTGTTTAAACTGTATGTGTATCGATGTGTAGGATCTAAAGGCATTCGGAGTAAACACCCTGGTGAGAGTGTGTGCTGCTACTTACGACAAGACACCGGTGGAACAAGAAGGCATACAAGTCCTGGTAAGCCATGCATGTACAGTTCTCAGCAGTGCTTCAAGGAGGTCAAGGAAAATTACAATCTGTAAACATTGAGTCACAGTTAAAGCGTTAAATGACGTTCCTGTCATTAGAGGATTAAGCCTCCTTGCAGCACAAAAGACTAAATAAATATAGACGACAATGACATGGTTTAACATGATAAAAGGAACCCTTTCGGCAGAGTAAACAATATGAGCTTGATCTACAGGAAAGTTCACTTTGAATGTTCTGGAAAAAAACACTTTCAGTTTTTGTCCATTGCATCTTTTTTTTAAAAAAAAAACATGGTAGCAGTACACCCAACAGGCTACCAGCTGATTTCTTTTCGTTCAAGGTTATTAGCAGAAGGATTTTCAGGGCTGCAAGGTGGCTCAGTGGTTAGCATCGTTGCCTTGCAGCTAGAAGGTCACTGATTTGCGTCCCGTGAGGAGACCTGGGATCTTTCTGCGTGGAGTTTGCATGTTCTCCCTGTGCAGCGTGGGTTCTCTCCAGGTTCTCCAGCTTCTCCCACACAGTCCAAAAACATGTTGAGGTTAATTGGTGATTCTAAATTGTCCGTAGGTGTGAATGTGAGTGTGCTTGGTTGTCTGTCTCTNTTTTTCAAACTCCACAGCTCAGGTTCAGACCTCAGGATTGTATTTCCTACTATTTAAAGTCAAGCTTTCTTTTATTCCAGTAACCCTGATGACATCATCGGGGTTGTTTTGTTATTTTTGCGACTTTAAAGGGTTCCTCGGTAGCTATTGTCACCGGGTGAATTACACTCCTTCTGGCAGGTAAACAGATATTCATGTGTAAGATCAGCGGAACAAATTCACAAACACAGAAGTTGGCTACTAGTCTAGGTTAGGGTTACAAACTCATCAGCAGTCAGCAGAGGCCTTTAAAGCGTCAGATTTCATGAGTAGAACTGATGTGGTGTCAATGTGGTACTTCCTTGTGGGAAATTTACAATACATCATCCTCACACCAGTTAGCACAGGTCTTACCTGTCGGGTATTGCACACAAAGTCTTTGCTCTCGTCACCCCACACCCTCTGCGCTGCCACCACGAACACCAGCACTCGGAACACAAACACCATAGACAGCCAGATCCTCCCGAACGCTGTGGAGTATTTATTGACTCCACTCAGCAGACTCTCCAGTCCCGACCAGTTCATCCCTGCTGCTGGGAGACTGGCACAAGTGCACCCTGTTGAAACAAAGAAAAAAAAGAAAGGAAGAAAATAAGACGGAAGTTACTTTTAAACAACTTTACTCTCTCTTAAAAATGGTACGGTCCATACAGACTTGCTGTGCTGTAGGATTAGCCACACCTTGCTCAATCCATCAGGTACTAGTTGTTTATACATGTACGGGCTTGTATGAAATCATTCCAACAACTCAACAGCCTCCAGGACAGAGAGTTAACATTTAGAGTTTCACAGTTTCATTTCACGGCTGTGTTGAGTTCAAAGCCTGTTGACTCTCCGAAATGCTTCATGAATTGTTATTCAGGTTTATTAATACTATCAGCTCCTCGCTAATTAAACTTCATGATTCTGTAACAACACTTTCAAGCAGCAGCTGAAGGATAAACTAAAAAACAGTTTTTTCATGCTGGCATACTGTATGTCATTAAAATGTTGCTTTTGTTGTGTTTATTAACCAAGGACATTTTTTATTTTTTATTAAAGATGGACAGTAACTCATCAGTTTTAGGAAACAAACTTATCTGGTTTCTTGCCAACAACTTGAGCTACTGTGCAGCTAAAGTTAGCAACCAGCTAGGTTAGCTTAGCTCAAAGAAAAAAGGTACACAGGTCGCCTGGGGTTGTCCAAAAGTAACGAAATCCAGTTACCAGCTCCTCTAAAACTCAGTGTTAAACATGGTTTGTTTAAGCTATGCAAAAACAGAAATGGAAAAACAATATTTTGGATAGATAGGTTGAATACGCAATGTGTGTGATTTGCATATGATTAGTCAACAAAACAGGAGTGACTGTATCTACTAAGTGAGTCCACTTTTTCTGAATTTAAAGTAGAGTTGCTGCTATATTGTGACCTACATTGACATTTTACATCTGTTATCGTGTCATGTAATTTTATATCATGCTTTTCAAAGTGTCCTATACTTCTTCCTTGTTCTGTGAAAAAGGAAGTGATTTGATTTACAAATCCGTGGGCACGGGAATTCCAAATACAGGCATCAGCAACTTCATTCTGAGTCAGACTTTTCGTTCCAACTGTCTATGACATCATTCTGACCAGTCAAAACAACAGTTAGCGATAGAAAGAGAGACTTTTCCTGTCAGACTTAAGGTGAACTTCAAGTTCTGTGTTTCCAGACACACTTAAGGACCTACAGTGAAGTCTGGATGGGATCAGAATACTAATCTCTTAGCAGTTAAACAGGTTATCTTAATCAGTTGCGGTTTCAGGTTCATTGTATGTTTGAAAAACAAGTTGTTCTGTCTCCACGTCCCATTTCTTCTGCTGTGATTAGAGATATTTTCAGTGTTGCCACATAAAACTCTAATTCAGGATATCTGTAATTACTTTTTAACCAGGTGAAGTTCCAGTACAAGATGTGTACAACATCATTCTGACTTGTTTAGACTTAACTCAAGATCTCTACAAAGGACAATGTGGATATCAGGAGCTGCATGAATGTAGATTAAACTGGGAAAATCACTTGTTGTAATTCAGCTCTAGATATCTGTAAATGGACATCAGCAGCTGAACTGTAGATACCTGTGATGAGAAACCACATACATGAACGGTAAAAGTAGAGTCAGACTGACATTGTGGATATCTGAAATATACCTATAGATTAGGAATAAATAAATGAGTTAATATTGGAATGGTTTGACGTAAAAGTCATGGGCAGGGATTTCTATTTATCAATTACAAATCCAAGAGCATGTATTTACACCTGGCTTCTTTATTTCTCAACTAACACCAACATAACGCTTTGCTTTAAAGATAAATCCACTGTTTTTGCAGCTAAGCTAAGCTAATTAGCTGCTCTGACGTTTCTCTATGTTTACTGTGCTAACATTGGTGTTTTATCAATCTTTTCTCTGCATATATTGATTGTATTTATTCTTCTCCTTACAAATGTGGGATTATTTTACTTTATTTTTTATTTTTTAATGTAAAATCAAATAACAAGACAGGAAAAAAAAATTCTCTATGTTCACATTAACATTGACATCCCAGCTTCCTACATTAACCTTGTAGGAAGCTGGGATAGTACAGTTTGAATTGTGACAGTTTTTTCTAAGCAAACATTTGAACTTGTCGTAGCAGAAAAACAACAATGTGACTAATATCCGTGCTAACACCAGCGCTTTTCTTAAAAAAACAAGTCAGACTTTCTGCTCTGATGACATGACTTATTGTCCTTCAAAGACCTTTGTGTAGCTCAATGGAACATCATCTAACTGCATTAGATTTCCTTTATAGACAATTTATGCTTTTTTTTCAAGAATCTTTCATTTATCTCTTTTCTCCATTCAGGCTGCTGTTAGCTGTGTGCACACAGCTGCTGTGTTTGTTATCACTAAGTATTGCTGCTGTGTGCTGCTGAATGAACACAATGGAAACACAACCATGTGTGCAAAGGATAAAGAGGTTCATGAATGAAACAGCCTAATGCCGTACAGTCCAGTTTAAATATGACTTCAATCATAAGCCTCCCGGCACATGTGTGTGTGTGGTTTCTGAGGTTACGTTACCAAGGTGCTGGACTGTGTGTATGTATGTGTTAGGAGACGTGTTTTTACAAAAAAGTCATGTGTACAATCAGTTTCCTCTGAACTCTCATGGTTTCCATCGAGTGTTTGCATTGCACAGATGGAAACACGGAATCTTCTTTTGCTATCGTATGGCCGAATGATTTTCACTTTCGCTGGTGTAGAATACGATAACATCAGGAACACATTCATGTATACAGCAGGAGCTCCATGTTAATGAGTAAAAAAAGGTATGTGTGTATGGACATTTTGGATGTAAAGTTATAGCTTCAGTGGTTGTACTTCCTATTATATCCGTGAAAAACAACTGAAATAAAATCCATATGTGCTCTGTAGTGCTCTGCTCAGGCCTATATGAGGCGCATCGGAGGATCAGTCACTGTTTAGAAAAGAGTAAAATATTTGGATTTCACAAAACAGCAGCGGTTCAGCGCTGAGGACTTTTCCGTGTCAACACTTCAAACTCTGGATTAACTCTTTTGCCACTTTCATCGAAGCTTAGTAACGTAGATTAGAGCCCCAGTGAAGCTTGAAGTGACATTGTTCCTGACGCTGACCTTTTATTAAAGATCACGTGACCTCGCTGATGGCTGCTCTGATCCACACCTTAACCCGGGTTAGATCGGATCATATTTTTACATTAATACGTGGGTTTTCTTTCAGCTTGTGAGCCTCTAAGATATCAAAATGGTGCAAAATAGATGCGCTGATAGTGAAAATGTACCAGTTTTGAAGTTCAAGCAAGTATTATTTGATGTCTCGTTTCTATTTAAATAAACCTACACTCATAATTTAAGCAATAGAAACTTATGTGCCATGAGTGGTAATGTGGAACATTTCAGCTTTAGGCCACAGTCCTATCTGTGTGATCAATCTACAGCTACATTTTCTGTCTTTACAGTGTTTGTCTTGACTTGACTTGAATGTTTTGTGTCTTAGTCACAGCCGCAGGAAAAGTTGCTTCCCTTTTTTTTCTTGAAAATGAAATCCCAGTGGCTCCCCCATTTGTTGCCATAACCAACTTGTATCCCTTTTGTATAATTGCTAAACAGGAAAAAGCACATTACTGTCCCTCAGCCTGTGTAAAATTCAAACCCTCATGGTTACAGTCTTTGTTTACTGTTCAGTCCTGCCGTGAAGATACAGTGAAATTAACGAAAAAGGAGAAAAACAGCCTTACCCGGTGTTGAAACTTCACTGAAACGGCCGATACGGTCGACACCAGCAGGAGAAGCTTAACGAAACAGCAGAGAAGTTAAGTGTACTGAAGGAAAAACTAGTTTCAAGCTTCCAGCTCCTTTCTCCCTCTGCTTGTCTCTCTCGCCCTTTCCTCAGAAATCCTGCCAAACCAGCTTCAGCCGCTGCTACGTCATTAAACACACGCACATGAACACACAGACTTCACATGCCCTGTCTTGTCAGCTTACGGGAAACGGGGAGACTCCACTCCCTGCAATCGATGTAACCTAACACCTTATAAATAGGTAAAGAAACAGACACATATGCTTTACTGAGCAGGGGGACAGAACATCCATCCCTGCCAAGAAGAATGCTGGAGTGTGTGTTTGTGTGTGTGTGTGTGTGTGTGTGTGTGTAGGAGAAAGAATAAGCAAGAGAGAGAGAAAAATGCCACACCCTTTGTGTTTGGATTGAAGAGAGTTATGCAAATATGTTGGAACGGCAGACAGATAAAGAGAAGGAAGCACATTTACATTAAGTTAGTGTATCAAACTTAGTACAGCAGTTTGTTTGAAGTTCATAAAGAGTAAACTAAAGGTTGTATTGAGCCACTAAATGCAAAATGAACACCACAGAACGTAGGGCAACATTTTTAAAAAGTATTTGTGAATGTGTTAAACAAAAAAAAAGGCAAAAAATTGAACCATACAGCAGTCCTACAAGTGCTTATTGGTGGTTTCACATACATTTAAACCTTTCGATGCGTTCAGGGACAGAGCCAACGGGGGGTCCAGGGTGGTCTGGCGTCCCCACACAGCCCATAGTGAAGCCTGTTAGAGCGCTACACACTCACAGAACTGGATTTAAATCCAGGAACTGTTATTTTTCTGGCAGAACTGTTTTGCAGAAGCATTTCTCTACAGC